CAAACTTCGAAGCAAATGGAATGCAATTTTTGAGGTCAGTACTAGCGGGGATGCCTGCATTGCCCTTACTGCTTCCACCAGTTGTAAGTCGAGCTGTTCCACCCGTCTCAAGATCAAATTTCTAAAAATTTACACATCAATTACGCACATCAACCACTTCATACCATAATCACCTATGAGCAGCAGTAACATAAGAGCTACGCAAACATTTAAGAAATGGGCAATTACTAAAACTGTGCTCAGATCGGTCCAGAGGCGAGTTACGACGGTCGTGAGCATGCCCTGGATGGCGAGGTGGATGGGGGAGAAAGAGGTGGTGGTTTAGGTTGCGGGAGTCGTCACAAAGAAAAAATAAACCTGGAACATTGATTGGAGAGGAACTGAGACATTACTTGGAAGCAGAAATCAAAGATAGGGGCAGGGATTATGAGGGAAGAAGAGTTACACAGGTTTACAACGCTGAACAAGGGACCAGATGCTCAGTGAAAGCCGGTATGTTTGTACTTGCACTTCAAAATCCTACCGAAAGAAAAAATCTAATAAGTGCGTACAACTGTGACTTTTGTTACTCTCACCCAAACCCATAAACCAGTACAGTTTGTGCGGCAGACCAAACCTGAGTTTTAATAACTGCCGGAAAACATCCTATACACCGTGACACGCAAAGATAATTCCTTGCTGGGACACGGCGTATATTTACATACAGCAGTAGAAGTTCAAAAAAAAAATGTACATTATTCTTATAAGAATCTTCAGAACCACAGGTATTCCCAGATCATCAGTGTCGCTTCTTACGTCGATGAATGACACATTCAACGTACTTGGCCGCATAATCATCCACCCTTCGTTGGTCCAGTTTCGTCCGCTGTGACAAAGCCATTACGCCCTTCTTCATAATTTCTTTATATTCCTGCTTGCTGATTTGCCTCATCCTGAAAAACAAAACGTTGATATTCCCCTCCACAAGACACATTCAGCGAGTAGCAAAAATGGAAGTACACACAAATTCACACCTGTAAACTTTCTTCAGAGAAGAGGAAAGCATTCGTCGTGCCTCTTCAAACATTGTACCGTTCCTGTGGGCTCCTTTCTTCACTCGAACAGTTGCTTCACCGGTTTCTTCGTCGTCTGCACTTGCACTCTTCCGTCCAGCTTCCGCCTTCAAATAATCACCACTGGGCTCTTCCGCTTCATCGCTTTCTGCTGTCTAAAATTACATTCGATTCAATGTGACACATTTATGTCGCAAGAATTCGACGAGAAAGAAGTGTACCTGAAGTGGGGGTCCAGGCGAGTTGCATAACGGCCTCACGCTGCTGGCTTCAATAAGTTTTCTTATTTTCTCGGCCAGGGGCTCACAAACAGAAAGATTGTTGGGAGGGATGGACGGTTTTTCAAAAGGTGGTGGAGGAGGCACACCCTCCGGCGGTTTAGGAGTCTGTTGAGATAACTCAGACACCGTAAGAGAAGATTTCCCGACCAAAGTTCGGCTCTGTTGCTGTTGCTGTTGGTGCTGTTGCTGTTGGTGCTGTTGCTGTTGGTGCTGCTGCTGTTGTTGGTGCTGTTGTTGTTGGTGTTGCTGCTGCTGCTGCTGTTGCTGCTGCTGCTGCTGTTGCTGCTGCTGCTGTTGCTGCTGCTGTTGCTGTTGCTGCTGTTGTTCATGCAGCGTTGTTGCCAGGTGCACGAGATGTTGACTGAGTTGCTGAGTCGATGCTGCAGCAGCTGCTGCTGTCGGAAGCTGCACTGGATTCAATACGAATGGAGCCGTTGGGGCCGGCGACGGTTGTGTTAACGGCTGCGCAATTGACTGAGCCGCCAGAGGATTGCTATTTGCAAGCAAACCTGCCGCCAATAAATTATTCACTAAAAATAAGCTTTTCAAAACGTGCGAAAACGAAATTAAAGCTCCATGAAAATGTAAAATTTATACCACTGAGAAGCTCCTTTCGAAAGAAACGGTCCCCATACATGCCTCATGGGCACAATCCTAATCATCTCCTACTACTGCATGGTCTTTATACTCACCAGGCCTTCGTTAGTAAGAATGCAAGGCAGTATCCTTCGGATGCAGATGTCCCAGACAGCCAAACAGCAATAGTCCTAACATGGTCACTGACCCGAACTGACACACACTTCTAAAGGAAAATATAAGTTGTAGGGTGAACTAAACTACTATCATTATTACACCTATTAATGGATAATCATACTTGCGCCTAAATTAAGTGGCGGTAGAAGCAAATTCGGTAATAGAGGCGGCTGCATTTGAACCAACGATGCTTGTCCAAGAGGCGTCAACTGAGGCTGGCTCAAACCGGGCAACGGCTGCTGACCCAGGCTAGCTAGCGTCTGCTGCCCCAGACTTGCCAGTTGCTGCTGGCTTAAAGTGGCCAGAGATTGCTGGCTCAGGCCAATTTGCTGTTGACCCAGAGTGGGACCAGCAAATGGAGCCAAACTGAGCTGGGGCTGCCCGCTAGCCAACCTGAATGTTGGTACTGATGATGCCGATGCACTGAACGCGAAGGACGTCGAAGGAGTCGCTGCAACATTAATTCGACTGTTTTAACAATTAAATCAAGAATAATGAGGAATGACATTTCTTTCTATTTACCCCTT